GTATGTTCAACAGAGTTGGGGCAAGCACTGAACCCTGCTGGATCTATGATCCCTTTTCCTCCATGCACTTCTTCCCTTCTAAAGGTGGTCTCTTTAGTCGTCTGCCATGAAGAAGTGTTTAAATATCTATATATGTTCCTGTGGCATGCCAGTGTGCCATGCTGTGTCACGGGCCCTAAGGTCCAGTAGCACTGTGCCCGTCTTTAGGTTTTTCTGAAAAAATATTTTTCATTGTCAGTGGAGAGAAACCAGTTTGGTGGAGACTAAGGATTTTATCTGCTTCTGCTGTTAAAGATTTTATAACACACTGACAGTAGGGAGATTAGTCGGTAGTTGTCAGTGTGAAGTGTTTTCCAGATTGTGATATAGTAATGAATTTTGCAATTTATTTCTTTGGGAGAAATTTTGTTGATGATTCTATTGTAGAGCAGGTCATAAACACAGAGGCCAAGAAATTTCAGCAATTCAGGGGCAGTGTAATCCTACCCTGCAGCTTTGCCACATTTCAGGTCAATTCAATTTTTTTCCAGTTCTGTGACCATTGATGGAAGACGTTGTCTTCTACATGTTGTTTGCAATGTTGTCTCATTTCACAATTGATGGCTTCTTCTATATCAAGGTCACCAAATGGATCACACTCCTACCATACTCCTTCAGTAGTGCCGCACTCACAGCATCAAGATGTGGGATGCAGGAGGGCATGTAGCTCCAAGTAATTGCTTAGCAAGCTGTTTCGTAAATGGCAGCACAGGTGGCTTTGTATGCCACAGTTACAGATTTGTTTGGATTGGTATGGTTATAGTGCATTCCAGGACTCTCTCTATTTTGACCAGTGTACTTTAAAGACATTTCATCAAGGTGGACTAGGATGTGCTTTTCTTGGATTCACCGAGCCTATCCTGGAATTCAGTGTGTAAAGGTGGTCCTTGTCATACTGTAAGTAGCCATGCTATGCTTTGTTTTACAGTTATGGTGTTGATGAATCAAGGAATTCAACTAAAAATTCCCTGCATTTTTTGTCATTTTTCAAAAGCACCAAAAGCCAGTGCCTATGTGTGGATTATTTTGTTCTGGAAATGAAAAAAAAGTATTCTAACATTAAAAATCTTTCATGTGGACAGTGCCGTCACACATGACTTAGATTATAAACCATTATGCCCCAGCATCAAAGTTGAGTTCTTACTACCACACACTGTGTTGCTGATCCAATGCTAACAGTTTGCTAACTTTAAATGCATGATCAGTGTGTGGGGAAAAAATCTACCCTCAAACACTGAATGACTTGGTTTCGACAAGAACATAATTTAAAAGGAGTATGTTGACACTATCTTTTTTAAATGTTTTGTTTTGGTTAAAGGTTCATTAAATGTATATACTGTATATACTGTACTCATGTCTGAACTGTATGTTGGTAATGTATCTCAAGTTATTTACTTCTTCCTTGTGGATATTAATTTCCCTTTCTAAGTAATTTCCCTATATGTTGCATAACTTGTATGTTTAGGAAAGTAACCTGCATTTATAATGGGTCGTTCTGTAATGCACTGGTTAGCTACAAATGAAACACACAGTCTTACTTGTGGTTCCTCACCTGACTCTATTCCATTAATTCTTATGGTTAAAGCCTCCTGCTTTAAGGCTTATGGGCCAAAGTTAACCATCTTATGGTCCTGAGCCCTCCATACAGTTTGTATTTTGCTCATATGGGGAAACATATACATCATCTTATGTATATACAATACATAAACATTATGTCGCTATAAATCCTAACTTTCTGGTCCTTAACCCATACATATATCAGAGACCCCATGTAGAGAAAGAGGTTAAGAGCAGTGTTCTCATAACCAGTTTGTTAGAGAGGATAAAACAGTGATTGCTCTGACATTTGGGTGCCTGCGGGCTTGGAGTGACATCAGTGAGAGATGCACTGCTACAATACATCTGTCAGAGCACTGTGGAGTTGCATCATGATCAAATGGCAAGCAGCTCTGCAGTGTGTGGGAGAAGCAAGCTCAGATCTCTTGTTCTCTCCTGAGAGGGAGCAGCTGTCAAGAATTAAATCGCAATTCCAAAAGCAATTTTTAAATAAAAGTCTGTGCACAGGACAGAATCTGACAGGCATCTTAAAAATGTTCTGTTAAAATGGAGCTTTTTAAAATATTATTGTTCCTGTACCAAAGAAGGACAAAATAGCTTGTCTTAATGACTATAGACCAGCTTTTACTTCTGTCATAATGAAGACTTTCAAACATAGGCTACTTCTTTATCTCAAAAATACACATCTCGGTTCTCTACAATTTGCATACAGGACGAACAGGTACTGTTAACATGGGCTTTCACTACATTTTACAACATCTAGAATCCTCAGGCACGTGTGAAAGAATTGATTTTAGCAATTTAGCGATTTCAGAACTCCTTTACTGTATATTTTTACAGTTGAACATTGCTTTTATCATCTTTTACCACCTGTTTCATAAACCATCAGAAAGGTGCTAACAGTCTATTAAAACCAGAACCACCCAGAATTTGAACAGTTTCTTTCCCAGGGCTGCCTTTTTGCTAAACCAGAATTCCTAGTTACACAGTATGTGCGCTGTCTTGAAGACATCTATTGTCTTGTTTGTTTATGATACGTGTGGCATGTTTTTGCCGCACCAGGATAAGTTGTACATTAAGTGTACTTGGTGAATTTGATTCTGAGTCTGGATTGCTTGTGTTTTTGGGATAAAACTGTTGCATGTTTAATTATCTTGAATTTCCCATGTTCTGTACACAGGCCGATTGTTCAAAATAATATGATGTATTTTGAGAAGTTATTTTCCGTGCGAATTGAAAGATGTATATTGTGTTTTCTCGGCAGATGGTTTTGTTTTTTCTGAATCTGTTAAGGTGAAGGGCAGAGAATACAACTCTATCAGTTTAAACTGGTTGGATTGTGTGACAGAACCACATGAGTACTCTTTGTGGATAAGATTAATAAGGCTGAATGTAGTTAATCAACTCATTAAGACAGCATCAAAAGCTTCCTGGAGTCTATTCACAAGATGTTTCTGGTTATTTGTGTGGTCCTTTCAGAGATCAGAACGTGTGGAAACAACAGTTTTATTGTTAGATGAAAACTTGGAAGAGCAGAAAGTCAGTCCAGTGAAGTGATGTAAATGTTTTTGAGTGATAGTGGACCCTCAACAAAGAAAACATCCTGAGGTTATAGAACATAGTCTAGCAGGAAGGAGTCAGGGTAGGATGCCCAAGTGTTCACAGTGTTTACTGGGCATGTTCTCCAGATGAAAACGTCCTGTAAAAATAGATTGTGGAAGGCGCTAGTGTGTAAATTGAGATGAAAACAAGTGGAGAAGAGCCTCTGAACCTACAGCAGAGAAACGTGAGTCATCAACACCATCCGCCCATAGCTTTGGAAATGGAGAAAAGTAACACAACAATTAACCATAAAAAAATAACAACCACAGAGGGAGTTTTCATATTTTAAAGTACTCCTTGGGAAAGCAAAACTCTGCACTTCATTAAAAAATAAAAATGACTATAAATGTGTGGCTAATGTCGGTCTTCAGAGTATTGTGAGTTGTAAACTATAAAGCATTTTATTCTTCTCATGTTAAGGGGCCACAAAAAAAGCATTAACTCGACAGAGGCACTTCAAAGCAAACTGTTGTAATTTCCTTCTTTTCAAATGTTCAGAAATGATTTTTTTCTGCTGTTGATTAGGTTTGCTATGAAATTTAATTGGATTCATGATAATCCCAGATATATAATTCTAAATACACCTTTCTTTGTCATATTGCTGTTATATAGGAAAACTGAATTATATAGATAAAACAATAGAATCAACTTTTGAAGGATCCTTTCTCATTTTCAAGTTTTAAAGTCAACAGGATACAGTCAGTTATTTAATTATGGTGCTGTATTAATACACAAACCTGATCCAAGATTATAGCTTCCATAACAGTTGTGCCAGTTTGTATCTTGATCTTATCATATCTTGGGAGATAAGCAAGGTTCAGCCTGGTCAGTACTGGTGTGGGAGACCACTAAGAAAAGTCCAGTTGCTGCTGAAAGTGGCGTATATGTATCATTAGGTGGTGCTCTTTCCTCTGTCCTATAAGGATCCCGTACTTCAGATGGAATGTTAAACAAGGTTTTACTATTTGATCAGTAATGATCCCACAGCACTGTAAATGTAGGGGCATTAGCCCAGTGTCTTAGCTAAATTCTGAATCGGCCTTTTCGAAGTTCCCACTCATTTTCAATGTCTTGATTTCTGTTCAGTGACGTTCATTCCCATCACAAACCTTGCCGGGGTTTGCAACGTTTCTTATTCTAGGGACAGTAAATACAAACACACTGTACAGTAAATACCCCTTACTTTCAGGCAGTCAATCAAATTATTTTACAACCCTTACATTCGTTCTCATGAAGGTTTTCATAAAAAAAGTGTGCTTACAGCATGTCTTTTGAAAGTAAAGAAAGAGGAATCAGCGTGTTGCAGATGATAACAGAAAGGGCTTTCCTTTAACATTATAATCCAAATAATGATTTGGCGTTTGTTTCCTTTGTTTTCTAGGACAAACAAAAATGGAATGAAGCTCTGGAAAGTTTTTCTTGTGTTGCTGGCACCCTCATCAAGGACAGAAAAGCAGCCTTGACTGGACAGCTGTTTGTTGTATAAATGTGTGAGACACTCTTTTACGTTCGTGCTCAGATGTCTGTAGCTTTGGAAAAATCTTGACGCTCAGTGTTTTTCCTTAATTTTGTACTCCTCCGTGAGGGTCTGAGAACAGAACTCCTTTCCCCAGGGGAATGTGTGAGAACAGGAATGGGTGGGAATCTTTAGAAGTGGGTACTGTATAGAGAAAGCAGGCTCTATAGGGAACTTATATATAAGGAAAACCGCATGACAAGTGAATAAATCTCAACACGTGAAGAAGTGGTACGAGCAAGACAGTGTTCGATGTGTCTTCATTTCTCCAATGTCCTATGTTGTGCAAAGTTTTGGATCACCTGTGGCACAATGGCTTACAGATCTGTCAAATCACTTTTTAACTACAGACATTAGTTTTTACCTGTTACATCACAAAAGGGAAGGGGTTGGTACTATGGTACTCACACAAATTAAACCAGATAACCTTAACTGGTTCAATGACATACTAATGGTTATGTCAGTAGACTCCTGTCACATCTTTACATACATGGCCCTGCAAAAGTATTCACCCTGTTCCAGTGATGTAATTTTTTAAAAAAACATTCCAAATGATGCACGCACATTTTTTAAAGTGAAAATGTTTAATCAAAACATAAATGCTTGAACTGAGCACTTATACAGGTGAAAGGAGATAAATGTCCTCAAACTAGAAAGAAAAAAATATTAACTTTAAAAATGTATTATACGTTAGATTATCAGCAATTCAAGAATAGGTGACATTATTAAAGGGGGGGGGATGCTTTTGCAAGGCACTGTGCAGTATGTCAACATGTAAAATACATAGCCAAGTATGTCAAAGATCTGTTCCAACATGCGCAAACGCAGTGGAAGATAGACACACACTGGGAGTGATAACCCTACTCTTATGAACATGGGCCTCGCATCTGTAGTCAGTACCTTCTTTAAGCCATGGCACCTCGTACATGTGGGGGCGGAGCAGTGGCACTTTGGCTGGAAGGTTGCCGGTTCGTATCCCGCAGCCGGCAGAGGAATCCTACTCCGTTGGGCCCCTGAGCAAGGCCCTTCACCCCAGCTGCTCCAGGGGCGCTGTATAAATGGCTGACCCTGCGCTCTGACCCCCAGCTTCTCTCCCTGTCTGTGTGTCTCATGGAGCGCAAGCTGGGGTATGCAAAAGACAAATTCCTAATGCAAGAAATTGTATATGGCTAATAAAGTGATCTTATCTTACAGCACAATATTCCCAGTCAATATAATCAGACCTCCATCCATTTCTTAACCACTTTATCCAATAAAGGATCGTGTGGGACCCTATCCTGGCAAGCAAAGAGCCCAAGGCAGGATACCCACTGGATGGGACGTCAGTCTATTGCAGGGCACACACAGACAGCCACACACACACTCACAACAAGGGCCAATTTTCCCAGAAGCCAATTAACCTACCAGGAGCGCCCGGAGCAAGGAACACAGGGAGAACAGGTCACCTCCAAGTGAACAGTTCATCCAGAGAAACATGTACTGTAGAACAGTGTTGAGCAAGACTGGTTTCTTCAATATATTTCTATCAACGTTTGGTTCTGATTAATTATTAATGTTCTTTTCAGGTTCAAGCTTTCATAATTTATCATAATTATCTCAGTTATTCATTATTAGCACACCATCTACTACTTAGTTTTCCTAATACACAAACCTTTTAAAATTATACTGTATGTCTGTTTTCATCAACAAGTATAACAAATGAACTTCTCATAAATATACTGTGTCTGTCCAGATATGATCATGTAGTCACATTGGTTTGGTCCAATAACATTTGGCAGAACATCATAGCTGTTTAAGTGAAGCCTACAGTAGATGCAAGATAGGGAGGTACAAGTTTTGATTGGGAGAAAAATGTAAACTCACAAATTAAGTGTTCCTTAAAATATTGTGATTTCTCTTTAGTAGTTTCCTGAACATGAAGAATATTTCAAAGTCACTCAATCAGATGAAAAAAATGGTAATCTGATAGAGGCAAAATTATGATTAATAGGTGCTGTTATGCTGAAACAAAAATAAATCTCCTTTTTGTTAAATGTTTGCCAATTAAAATTCTAAAAGCAGTACAGATACTGTATATACAGACACAACCAATTTCTCTCTTGTCACTGGTGAACTAGGAAACAAAGGAATGTGATGTATAATGCATTTATAAGCAAACCATACATTCGGGTCAGTGCTGGTATCTATACTGTAGGCATCCATAGGTAATAAAAGGTCATGTCTGTACACAGATCTGTACACATCCACGTTCTGGTTCCAAAATTCAGAAGGTTAATTTATCACTACAAAAAGGTAAAAGATGACTTGTAATGCTAATGTCCCTAGAAACATTTCTGAATGTAGAAAACGACATACTGGATCAGTTTGCGCCAGTGTTTATTTTGAGTGGCAGTGCATGAGCATGTGCGTTTCGAATGCCCATGAAAATGACCGTGGTGTTTTCATGGGAAATTAGTATTTTCGTGTGGAAATGACGGAAATGTTGGTAAAATTAACATCTGCTTCCTAATGTAAATTCTGATTTCACGTGAGAAGGTTAATTAAAGTGTTCAGGTGTCTCCCCTAAAGCCACAATAAAAGACATGTGGGCCAGAGCTTGTTGCAGTTAAGCTCATATGCTTGTGGTGCAGTAATTTTATCAGACTGATGCTGCTGGTAACCCAGTTGTTTTCGTCAAGACTACAGTATATGTAGGCTAATACTATGCCACTTACTGTAGATCATTGACATAAATGTCTCGCACATCAAAGTGTACAAAGTCGCAGTTTTCATTTCTTACCCAATGTGAAATTATTTATTGTTACTCTGGTGACCCAAACGATTCCACTCTCACTTATTTTCACTCTTTGCCAGAGTGAAAATTAAAATGTATGAACTTTGAACGTAGATTTTAAGATATCAGATTCATGTGTGTCCCTAAAAGAGTCTGTAATTAAATAACAAATACAGTACATAGGCTGCATGCACCCACCACTAATGTTTGAAAACCAGACAGGTTTTTAGAAAAACAAGCACAGTCTATTAGCAGAGCTTTATTCCCCATTTACATCAAAGCAAATGAAACAGAAATTGTTTATCTCACAACAGTTCTCCGTTCTAGTAAACAGTGGTTTGGGGGACTTGAAAAGGTAAACTTCAGGAGAATCCCAGTGGACCATACACAGGGCGATGGAAATCTTCTTCTCATTTCCTCCCTTTCCCCTGGTGTTAAAGTAAAAGTAGGCTTACCCAGGAAAATGAGAGGTTATTAAACCAAAAGGTACCAGGTCCACATTTACTCCACAAGAGAATTATCAAGTGATGGAAAAGAATCAAGTAGTCCACACCATTATCTGTCATAAATCCTTCGGACCAATTCATTAATTTGACCTTTTTTTAATTTAAGGGGATGTAGTTTCCCTTCCTTAAATACATTTTTACCCTTTTGTGTTCTCTTTATATGGCATATACTCTCTTTAAAAATGCATGCCTGAAGAGGCTGCACAGCTTAGTTTTTTTTGCATTTTTTCTTTTTTCTTTTCAGTGTGCAATTAACCTTGTCTTGCACCTTGACTGTTCGCTTGCTGACGAACCTATTTTTACATAGAACTGGATCTGCTGGTGCTTTCAACATTGAAGTCCAGGGTTTGTTATGAATTCTGTTAGGAACCAATATGTGTAACATTCAACAAAACTGAAAACATACCAGTGATTAAGTAGAATGGATGCTGCCCAGCTTTAGTTAAAGCACAATGAATGAATAGACCAGTGGAGCATTTGATAGAGTAACTGAAAGGTGTTGACAAGAATTGTCAGCTCTGACCAGCAGCATTCATGACCACATGTTATCAGTGAAGGATAATTCCTCTCTTCCTATTTTAAGGAAAGACACGTTTTTTCACTGGAATGCAGGAATGATCGTTAAGTTTAAGTTAGTTCAAAACTTCCGCAGACATAGAAAAGTTTCAAGTTATTTATTTGGGCATAGTCAAGACATAATAAAAATATTTTTTGTTGCTTAAACACACTGCTAGGAAGCAATCTTTGTCATTAGATCAAAGACTTGACACTTCACTTGAGGATTTCAATAAAGCTTATGTTGTACCAGCTTTACAGGGAGGAAGCAGTCCTTCCTGTTTTTAATTCCTGGCTTTGCAGACTCATTTAATGGAATTTAAATGCATTAGTGTTTATCCAAGGTCTTAACTTTTTTCTTCACGTTAATGTGAGTCATCACAGTGCTGTTGAAGGTGGACGAAATAGCCGTCTCACAACGATACTAGTCCGCCCCCTAGTGGATGGTGCGCCCCCTCCCCCCAAAATGTTGGTTATGAGCTGTAATTTTATTGTCCTTCCAAAAGGGTGGAAATTTGTCTTTGGCGTCACCATACAAAACTACAAAAAATTACACTCCACATAAAATAAAGCCATACTTAAACAGTCGTCCTAGAAATGAAGGCTCTTTAGTTTGATATCATTAAGTAATAAATTGCCTGATGGGAAAAGTGCATCATTTAAACTGTTTTTTTTTTAAAGGGCAGAAAATAATTGCAAATAATCTAACTGAAAAACACTTCTTGAGAAAAAGAAGGTTTCCTTGTGTTTATGTAGATTCTATCACTAAATGATCTCAAAGGTTTCCACACATGCGAGAGGGAACCTCCTTCTCCCACCACCAAAGTCCAGCTCCCACCTGTTTGACACAGGACAGCCATTGTCTGCCAGCAACCCCACCACACCACAGACCAGCTGGAGGACTGAGAAATCGCTACACTACACCAGCTGACATAAAGGGGAGCTTTATTTTCACTTTTCATCTAAGGCACAGCAATGCCTGCAGTTCAGTGGGCAAACAGAAGAGCACCACCTACTGGTCCACCAACACCTCTTATAGCAGCACTGGTTTTCCTCGGTGGTCTGCCATCCCAGCACTGAACAGGCCCAGCCTTGCTGAGCTTCTGACATCGACCAGGTCGGACGACAGGGTGATAATGTTGCCAAACAGTTCTTCTACCTCAGGGCTTCTAAAGGTAGGTAAACTGTAGTTTTTTTTTTCTCTTCAGTAAGGATGAAAAAAAAGGATGCATTCTTATACTTTGTAAAAAGGCTACTGTATATAAAACTTGTTTTGTAATGATGTGATTTGCTTCATACTTTATCAAATAACTGTGTGGGCAGCTACAGAATGTCTGTCGATTCTTCTAATGCTGTAGGTACTTTCAATCAGTGAAGAATGTATGACAGATAAAAAAAAATACTATC